GTCGGGGAGGGGAGAAAAGCCATGGAAGCAGCCACTGGCCCATGTGAATGTCATCAGCCACCAAACAGCATCAATCTGAGACATCCACATACGCCTGATCCCCCTTGGGGAGGCCTGAAACCCCACCAAAGTCACTGCTTTCAGAAGGCTGAGCTCTAACCCCTCTTGTTTTTAGCAGCAGCCGCCAGCAGCGATGACATTTAGATGCCCACACGAGGCAAAGCTCAGTCGCTTTCAGAGTTACCCCCTGAAAAACAGGCAGAACTTGCCACATGCGTCCCTGAGCTGATCCCCAACTCAAAGCAAAACTCAGCTCGGCTGTGGTGGTTGTGTTTTGCACTCACCAGCCAGCCAGGATAACCCCAGGGGGACACATCTCCTGGGACTGTGCTGGCCGTGGAGGTCAGGGCTTCGTTTTGCTTCGTGTTACAGGGTGCCCTGGCTACGGGGAAAACCAGCGCGCCCTGCGTGCTGCAGGGAGGGACTGTGGGGAGTGGTTACTGTACCTACAGCCTGAGTCAGGTGGTGACCCTCACCTTGAGGGCTCCAGTGTGATGTTGAGGTACCAGCACATTCAAGTGCAGTTTGATTCCTCCCTGGCTCAGAATGGCTTTTGGTGGCCCCCTGTTTGCCCCCAGGGTGATGGCAGGGACCGTGTGCTTGGGGCTGCGGCCAGGCAGGCTTCTGGGGAACCACGCAGCTCTCCCGCACCCTCAGCCCCAAGCAGAAGGGGAAGAGGGGTCTGATGCCAGCAGGGAAGATGGTAAAAGGGAAACTGGTGCTAGAAAGAAGGGGTTGATGTGGTGGTACAGCCCCAGAGCCTCCTAGCAAGAGAGCGCATGTGGAGCACTGGCCACGGCCGATGCACCACGGGAGTAACGCAAAGCATATGTCTGAGAGGCAAAATGCAGGAGATATGACGTGATGCTGCATTTACTTTGTTCCTGTGCTGTGAGGTCTCCATGGAGGTACTTGGTGCCCACCGGGATATTGGACGGAGATGTCCAGGAGCTACTGAGCTGGAGTTTGTGGGTGTGCAGGTCACAGGGTGCTGCTGGTGAGCTGTGGCAGGGAGTGTGCTGAGAACTGGCCTCTGGAGAGCTGGGGACGAACTGGTCCGTGAAGGAGGACCCTTGGCTAGGACACCCTACCTGTGGGCTGGACGTCCTACGGGCTGATTCTTGGGCTGCTGTGGGAGGCTGCATGGAGGGTATGTAGGTAGGGGATGGACGACCCATGTGCTGCTCGAAAACAAACCTCGTGGCAGAAAGTGACTTCCCGAAACTCATTTATTCACACAGAAATGAGCAACAGAACAGAAAGTTGTAGTGTAAAATACCGGAGCATATTTGTTGTAGTAGCATCCCACTCAAATGCTCTTTTTAAAGGACTTGATTAGTATTCAGAATCAAGAACTTAAAAAATCCATTATCGAGACCTTTTTAGCAACATTAGAGATAATGGGCGAAGCTCATTCCTAGTGTTACTCCTTTGGAATTACACCAGGGCTGGATTTGACCCCACGGCTGTTAATGCAGGATGACAGAAAAATGAAGGAAAATTGCTAATGTGTTAAATAGACCCTGATTGATTGAAAGATTTTTTTTTTATTCTTTATTAGTAGCAAAATGGTGACATCGTTCCTTGCCGAAAATCGAGTGCTTTAGTGCATTACTATGAATGAAAACGAACTTATTTAGAGAAGCAGCTAGAGTAAAATGCTACTGAGGAAAACCATGCAAGGCAGTCCGAATTAAACCAGTTGAAAACCTGACCGCCTAGGTTTGTGAGGATAGCACAGGCCAGGGATTGGGTTCACCATCTTGTGGAATAAATGTGGCCAGCGATCCGCTGACGGGGAGCAGAGGAGGCCCCTGGCACTGAAGGGGTCCCCCCCACTGTGGGTGCCTGGCACCGGCCCTTCCCTCCTGCAGAAGGAAATGATACAGTTTGCATTGCATCAGAAGCGTTTCATTGTGAAACCCAGTTCAAACCTACTAGTTTGAAATCCATTTCATCCGAAATCCGTGGGGCATTAGTCAGAAACCAAAGGAAAGCTTTCTGGACAGAAACTACGGAGCCTACGTGACTTACCACTTCTGCTTCAGCTTAAAAACCTATTCCCTGTAAAATGCCTCTGCAACATAGGGACAGCCAAATAAATGCAATTAAAAATAGTGAGGGTGACATTTGTTTCGCCTACCTGTAGCCATTTACAGCGAAGGTGTCCAGGTCTGAAGCAGTTGTCCGGCTCCTCCGTGAGATCTATCCCCAGCACCTGAAACTGCAGGCTGGGCCACCCCTGCCGTCTCTTCCTTCTTGCTGTTCTGTAGGAGCTTGGACAAACTCTACACAAATCCACCTGGGAGTGCAGGGCTTTTTTTTTGCCTTCCCCCCCCCTCCCCGTGTCTTGCCACTGACTTGCTGCGTAGCTTTGGGCAAGTTACTTAACCTTGCTAAGACTTTGTTATTTCCCCTGTAAAGTGGGGTTAATAATGGCTATCTGTCACCCCTTGCTTTGAGATCCTTGGATGAAAAGTGTTGCAGAGGCAGTAGATATTAATGGTATCCTTTTCATTCTTTTTCATTAGCTTGTGGCCTTTTGACACCCAGAAGAAGAAATGATGTATTTCTCCTTGAAAATTCTGCTCTTAGATTATTTCCGCTGTGATCAAAAGTAGAGAGCATCAGAGTTTTCACAGGCAAGCTCCCTTTCAGCCCCATTTTGCAGACTCAGGCAGTTAAGAAAGTTACAGAAATGCTCATCAGAAATTATTATCCAGGGTGTTTATTATTTCTGTCGGAAAGTTATTTTAAATCCATATATATGTATGGATGTACATAAAATTGGTATTTTTAAAAACATTCTTTAAAAAAAATCTGTTTCTCAAGTAGTTCAAGGCAGCAGTTGTGGCTCTGGCTGTCATTTATTTTATTGCAAAAATTGTCTTAAAAAATCTGCCGCGGGCCAAGCCCCCAGCCCAGGAGCTCTGATGCTTCTCCCTGCTCAGGCCCTTCAGGGCCACATCTCCCCAGGTGTTTCCCCAGGCCAGAGAGTCCCTGAGCGTTACCCAAGGGGTAGCCACGGCTCATTGCTTTTTGGCCACACTGATCAAACATTGGCTTCTGGTGGAGTGTGGCTGATGTGGGGCTTTGTGGTGCAAATGGCAAGCAGACTTTAACTGAAAAAAGCAATTCAATTATTATTCATTTACCTGAAGTCAGAAATGTCTATGCTTCTCTTTTTATACCTTTTAAAAAAAAAATTA